TCTTGCTTCTGGACATCCTGGGCTCTGCCTGAGCCCTGTACTGCTGTGCACTATAGCACTGTGCAGTAAGCACACAGCAGCACACTGTGACAGTGTCTGGCAGGCACGTGAGCTACTTTTGTGATTTGTTCAAATCTACATAATGCTAGATCCGTTTGTGAAAGTTCACAATTCAAATATTCATAAACTGGAAACTTACTGACGGTCCTCATATTACACATGGGGAAACTGAGGCAAGGAGAAGTTAAGTGACTTTTCTTATAACTGAACAAGGATTCAAATCCAGGCTCTGCAGCCTCTCAGGAAGCAGCTATGCCAGGTTAGCAGAGAAGGGCCTTGTTAAAAGAGTATTTATCGAGGAGCTTGTGGAACTGCTGAGTGCACTGAAGAACCACATTTGGGGCCTCCAGTCAAGAACATAAGGCAAAGCTGGCACAAGAGGGAACCCCTGCCCTCCCTGAGAACACCTCTAATGCCACCAGCCTTGACCACTATCTGGGCTGCAGCCCTGCTGCTACCTCTGCCCTGGGATCTGAAGCCCTGAGGCCTTCCCTGGAGGACCTTCTCTGTCTCCATTTTGTGGACTCCAGTTCACACTTCCCTCTGGCAGTGCATCTGATGGGGAGGCATCACCCCGGGAAGCTGAGTCACACACACCAGCTTCACAAGGCAGCCTGGGAGGGCAGGATCTGGCATTTGGAATCTGCAGTGGGAGATGGTCTCTGCCTCTCCCTAGTGCTCCCAGAGCCCAGGTTCAAATCCTGGGATGCCCTTACAATCCTAGATGTCATAATGTAGTATAACCTGGGGCAAGTCCCAGCCCTTTCCTGGGCCTCAGTCGCCCATCTGCAGGGAAGAGAGAAGTGAGTAGCCCAGCAGAGGTTTGTTGGGTGGGAGGAGGCACATAAATTCCATCTCCCTCCCATCTACCCCATTCCATAGACTTCTCCAACCTACCTCTGTGAGCCTCCTCTATCTCCCTGTCTGTCTGTATGTGTGGTCTGTGTGTCTTTCCTGTCTCTGTCTCTGATTGGACCTTCTCTGTCTTTGTTTGTGTGCCTGTCTTCCTGTTTCTCTTAATCTCTGTCTCTGTGCCTTTGTCTTTATCTCCCTCCCCCTCTCCAACTCTGTCTCTCCCTCTCTCCCTCCCTTTATCTCTCCTTATCCCTTCTCCCTGGCCTTCATCCCTCCTGCCCTCCCTCTCCCTTTCCCAAGTCTGCTGTCTCCCCCTTGCCCCATCCCTCATTCTATCTGCCCTACTGGCGCCACCTCTTGCCTGTGCACATTGTATCTGTGGCTGCAAAGCAGGGCCCTGCTCCCTCCCTCCAGGACATGGCCCATTTTCCTCCTGCGGAATCATAGGTGAACTTGGGTCAGCCTTGCCTTCATGACCTCAGACTTTCACCATCCACTGCTGGGATCATCTGCGCCCATCTGCGCTGAGAATCTTCCAGGAGAGAGGAAGAGAGGACACCCTGCCTAGCCTCACCCCATTCTAGAAACATGCCAAAGAACTGGTTGTATTAAAATGGAAACCCATGTGCTGAGTGGTCTCTAGCCAGAGGGTCCTTGGATTGGGTCTGCCTGCTTAGGCAGGAATCTCCTTGTGAACCCCAAGGGAGAAAAAGTAACAAGAAAGTTTGAGCTCTGCCTTCAGGGAACCCCAGGCTACTTAAAGACCACAGTCAGAGATTGGCAAGAGGGCTTGGTGGGCACTGGGGTATTCTTGGGAGGCCTCCTGGGGTGGCTGGGTGACCTTGAAGGTCTTGGAGCAGAGAATGACAGTTTTTGAGGACTCACTCAGGGATGGGGCTATCAGCAGCAGGGAGAGTCCCTGTAAACCCTGCCTCCTGGTGGTGGAAGCAGAAGCTGTGAGTGCAGAAACTCAGGGCAGTGTTCTTCCTCCTTGGAAAGGAAGCTGGGAGAGAGGGAAGCTGGGGCATTCGTGGCCATCACAGAAGGTATGGCTGAGGGAGGAAGAGAGAGCAGAAGTTGTCCCTCTCTGGCTACACAGAGCAGCCCAGCTATGGGGCCTTCTGTGCTTGGCACCTAGCACTCCCCTTTCCCTCAATACAAGGGAGGAAAGGACTAACCCACAGAGTGAGATGCTTTCTGAGGCTTCCATGGCAAGCCTGAGCCCTGGAGGGCCTCTGCTGGTCTGGGAGCCCCTGGCTCATGCTCTGGCTTCTGTTCACCCTGTGTGCATGGGCCCTGGTGTCAGGGAAGCCTCACCTCTTGAGCTTCTTCCCCCTCCCTGGAGACCCTCCAGCCCCTTCACTGTCAGCTCAAACTCATCTTTTATTGGTGTGTTGAGCATGTTGCCCTTTTTCCCAGAAGGCGCCGAGGAGGTTAGAATCCAGCTTCTCGAGATGGGAAACACTGGAACCTGCCTTCCAGGGCTCCAGTTCTAGAGAGTGAGAGACAGATAGACTCTTCAAAAGAATTTTTTTTTTAAATTTGCTCTTGAAATAGTACAGTCAAGGCTGTCAGAGCACATGGGAGGGTGGCCTTGTTGTTGAACAGAGTCTTCAAAACTTGGGCCATTGATGTGCCAGATGTGGGAGTTGGGGCAGAGATGAAGAGGATTATGGAACCTTGAATGTCAGACCAAGGCATGGACTTAGATTCTGCTAGGCTGAGACAGCAGGCTGCTTGTCCATAGCCCCTTGGTACAGGACCGGAATGCTCTGGAAGGATTCTTCCTGATTTTTAGGCTGTAGCGTCTAAATCTAAATCCAAGGCTGTCTGAGACCTTCACCTGCCCCTCCCCTCTCCTCCTTTCTGCCCATTAGGTCAGAGTGCACAGCATCCTCCCGTCCATTCCCTGACAGGCTAGCAGCCACAGCAGAATCTAGAACCCTAAAGCTCTCCTGTAGGGGGATCTCCACCCCCAGGAACCCTCCGAGATCTCCCCAGAGGGCTTCTTCTACTTAGGTTATCTGGGCCCCAAGTGCAGTCATCTGGGTCCTGCTGACCACACACCTCAAACCAGGTGCCCCAGTCAGGCCTGCGGTGGAGACAGGAGGAGCCCAGGCCTGATTCTGGAGGGCTGGGTCTAATGCCAGCTTTTGCCACAACTCACTGAGTGACTGGCAGGCCCTCCTCAGTGTCTTATCTTAGTTTTCTTTCCTACGTGAAAAGGAGAGAGAATATACTGACATCATGGGCCTTGACAAGTTGGGGAGATGACACCACTTGGGGCTCCCTGTAGACAGCTAGGGAATTGTGTGCAAGGAGCCAGGAGCCTGGGGCCTGGAAGGAGGAGCAACCATGTACCTTGGGTCTGAGAAGGCCCCACCATGCCGAGGATGGCCATCCTCATTCTGGGGTGATGTGGCCAGCTGTTGCCTCTGAGAGCCCCACAACTCTCCAGCCTCCAGGTACTGTCTTAGTGAGAGGGCAGTCTGTCTACCTAGAATGAGAGGGTCTGGTCCCCAAAGGCATTGAGAGATGGTCAGCTCTTCAGCTCCCTGAAACGATGTGCTGATGTTGAGGGAGGACATGGGATTCTGCCAGTCAGAGATGTATCCTCCCTGCTGTACTTCATGGGAGTTGTAGCATGAGAGCTGATTCTAATGCTGCTCGTGTGGATGAGTGTCTCACCTCTGGGCAGGTTTTCTCTCTTTTTTGGGGCTTCAGTTTCTCTATGCTAGGTGGTCCCCCCCCAGACATTGCTCTGTTCCAGGGCAGCCTCTGACCCAAGGGTGCCCGGCTCCCATTCTCCTTCCTGCCTCCCTCTGCAGGCTGGCGTCATGGTGACAGGCCCATTGAGTGTTGCTAGGGTGCAGCAGGAAAGAGTAAGCTCCAGCAGAGGCTGGAGCATGGAGTGGAGCCTCCTCCTACAGGCTCCTCTCCTGGGGTAGCACACTGAGCTGGATTGTACTCATCCCCTTTGCTTGTCAGTGCACCCACCATGGTCTCCATTAAATGACTGAGTGTCCCTGTGACTCAGTTTCCCACCATCTCCTTTGAGTATGGACTGTTACCTCTCCATGCCTACTCAAGGTTGCCAGGGTATTGTGAGTGAAAAGTCCTATGAAAATAAGGAGCTGAGTACTTCTGAAGACCCCGAGTGGCCAATTTAAGCCCAAAGGCCAGTGTCCACATAACACAGCAGAAAGGAAACAAAAGTTCCCTGACCCTGGGTGTCACAGGCAGATGTCTCCAGAGAGGCACTCACATTCACCACTCACCATCTGGGTTTCCCAGTCTCTGAGCACAGAACAGTCTGGGACTGGATGAATGTGCCTAGCTGTCTGACCCCTTAGCACCAATACATTGCAATCCAATCAAGACAGAAATGAGCAAGGTGGGCCCCAGAGCCCCCATCCCAAGTAGCCTGCAGCACATCAGGGCCAGGCAGGAATGTCACCTCAGGGAGATGCACCAAATCTGAGAAGTCCAGGGGAATGTACCATTGGCACCATGACTGTGCCCCTAACCACCCCAGCTCAGCTGCACTTCCCCAGTGGCTCTTAGCAATTAGACATGACCCACAGCCCAGTCCAAGTAATGGTGGGCAGGCTGGGAGAAGAGATTAGCTGTGAGATTTTTCCCACAAAAGGAAAGAAAAGTGACTCAGAGTCAAGGTCAAGGATTTCCAAGCAAAGCACCAGGCCAGACAAGAAAGAAATGGCTGGATCTGGAGGAGTCCAGCTCCAGGCAGTGAAAGAGCCAAGGGTAAGGCTTTCTCTCCTGGCCACCTGGACTCCAAGTGGCCAGGACCCTGCAGAAGTGGCACAGCTGGCTGCATCTGCCAGAGTATAGCGCAGAGGAGGAGACCTCTCCCTGCCAGAGACACTACCCCCAGGGCGTCTCAGGGGAGAGAGCTCTTGTTCTTATCACCATCTTCCCCCTCTTAAATTCCTAGAGATGCCCACTGATTCCATTTCCAATGTGCTGCTTTTTTTTTTGTTAATAAGCAAGATTTTGGTACCTGGAATCTGTAGGGTTGTTTTATTTTGTTGGTTTTTGAGGTAAACTATGTAGTTTAAGCTGGCCTTGAATAAACTATATAGCCCAGGCTGGCCTTGAACTCATAAAAATTCTTCTGCCTCAGCCTCCTGAGTGCTGGTGGTATCTGTGGATGCTGCCCTCAGGTTTGCCTTTTAAGACTGACCCTCTCCTCAGTATAGGTTGGACTGCAGTGGCTGAGGTTTGGGCAGCAGGGCTGGCTTAGCAGAGGGGTGTGTGGAAGAGACCTAGATGCCTCCTGTGCATATGTGTGACTGTTTTGTTTTAGCCATGCAGCATGGTGGAGCCTGGGCACCCAAGGTAGCAGACTGTCTTCTTGGTCAGCCCTGAGCATTTTACCCTCACTGACTTCCCCAGTAACCTAAGCAACAGCATCAGCCTTGGTCCATCCTAAGGACCATGGATGCTAAGCTCTGTGCAGTGCTTAAGAAAGAGCCAGGGGGAAAAAAGAAGACAAGAAAGAGCCAGGGAAGACTGCCCTTGGGGACTCTGAGCCTGATAGTATAGAGGAAGGTAAGTTCCTACTCCAGGGAGCCTCTGGACTGGATGGGAAAGCATGGCTTCTTGGAGGGGGTCAACAAGAAAACAATCCCAGCCCAGATTGAGCCTGGAAGCTATTGGGGTAACTGGGGCTGATATGAGTCTTAAGGAAGATAGGAAGTAGCTTGACCTCTTAGAATTGAGCCCAGGGCAGTGGTGTGACAGCAAGGTGGGAGGGCACATTCTCGGGAGCTCTCCAAGGTGAGGTTGAGCTCTGCGGAGGTGGTGACGGGCAGGCCGCTTTGCTGTCCGTGGTGCTGAACGTTCTGAGCCCATGCCCTGGCCTCATTCCTTTGGTAAATACTGCTTTTTGCCCTCCCCACCTCTCTGCCATCATCTTCTTCTCATTTTCTTTCCAGATATCCGATAACCATATTGCTGCCCCCCCCACCAGAGCCTCACCCACTCCCTCGTGCCAACCTGCCTCTTGGGCTCTTTTGCCCGTAACTACACCCAGAAATGGTCCTTCACAGTCTGTTTCCCACGGTCCATGCCTTGCCAGTAAGATTATCAGAAATAGGGGTGCCAGTGTGGGGAGCATTTGAAAGTTATGTAGGGATGTTTGGAGTTGTCACGGTGGCTTGGGGTTTATTGGCATTTAGCAAAATGGGAGTCAAACAATTGACTCTACTGAGATGCCAATAGCTCCATTAGGAACCAACTGACATTATTTTTTTCTTAGAGGGGAAACTGAGGCCAAGAGGGAAGATACTTACCCATGGTCACCTAGCCAGCCACAGACAAAAATCTAGATTATAGGCTCCCATCTCCCAGCTAGGGTTCTGGACTACTCCAGGTGACTCCTTAAACCAGAAACTATTGGTGTCTGAGTGGAGAACAGTCGTGCTTCAGTCATTCTTGCCACAGGCCAGGGCCACTCTGGGGACAGGGACTAGGCTTCCTAAACCACAGAGCCTTGCAAAAGAAGACCCTGCCTGCATCAAACAAACCCTAATGCCCCCAGCAGGCCACAGTGCACACTATTGGCATCGATCCTCTGCAGGGGCACCTGTGTTGCTGTGGTAACGGGCACCTACCTCGCTGCATCCATCTCCACAGTTCTGGCCTGGCCACCTACCCTCAGGCTTTCCACGCCCATCCTCCTGTGGTTCCAGTGACAGGATGGGGGGCCTTGCTCGCTTCTGTCCAAAGCTGTGCCTGAGGCCTTGGCACCCGCATTAGCAGCAGTGCTTCCTCAAAGGACAGAAACGTCTGTCTTCAAGTTCTCCCGTGCCTCATCCCCAGATAGGGCTGGGGCCCTGGAGGGACACCCTTCCCATCCCCACATCCCACATCTCACACCCTAATGCCCGGAGCTCAGCAGATCTAAATGAGTTCAATTTAGCCTGTGTGGACTCACTGGCTGGCTCCTGTGGAGGGATGCAATGATCCGGTATGGTCTCTACCTGCTTCTCTGTCCCCAGGAAGCTCAAGTGCAGTAGCAAAGGATTAGAACCGAAGAGAAAAAGTCCATAATGAATTATGGCAAATGCTCTAGAATACATTTTTGTATTGCAGACTATGGATTGTGGGATAATAGTGGACTGTGAAATGAATTTAGCGGGTCATGACCAGTATTTGAATATGAAATGAAAAGAATACATTAGAATAGAATAGAGAGGAAAACATTATAGCTGTTGTCAAGATAAATTTTGCTTTATAAAACTGGATTCAAATATGGGTGGGTGAGAGCCGGGGATTTAGCTCAGTGGTTTCACCACCTGCTGCTCAAATGTAAGGACCTGAGTTCCATCCCAGGTACCAAAAGAAAAATGTGGGGGGTGTGCTAAAGTGTGTTACAAAAATATGTGTTAGTGTAGTTCAAGCTCAAAAATATGTGTAGTGAAATGTGAAGGCCTGTGGTCTAAAAGATGGGAATAAACAGAAGAAGGAAGTACTTAAAGAAAAAAAAGGGATTGCTTCAGACCTGGGGTGCTGGGCAAGGGCCCATAGAGGAGGTGGCATTTGAAGTGGGGTATAAAAGATAGGTAGGGGCCAGGGATTTAGCTCAGTGGTGCCACTGCCTGCCTCGCAAGTGCAAGGTCCTGAGTTCGATCCCTGGTACAGGAATGAATAAATAAATAAATAACAGATAGGTAGGAGTTTGTCTGTGAGCAGTGAGTGAGTGTGAGGAGGGTACTTCAAGGGATGGATCAGTGCAAAGCCAGGTATGTCCCAGGCCTTAGTGCAAACCTCAGCTGCCATGTGAAGTGGCAGCCGGGGGGCTGAGGAAGCTGGAGTTTATTCTCAAGAACAATAAAGAAGCCTTGATGACATTTAAGCAGGAAAAAGCATGGACCAGAAGAAGTAGGGAGGCAAGAAAGGAGGATGTTGTGCCAATTCAGGCAAGAAGACCCAGAGAGATGGGCAGAGGGAGCAGGTTCCAAAAAAAGCAGAGGAGACAGAATGCACAGAACTTGGCACTTCTGGGGCATCAATGTGAGGACAGAAAAGGTCCCCGTGGTAGCATCTCCATCCAGACTGCTCTCATCCACAAGTCCACCCTGTGGACAGAGTCACCATGAGAAATGAGCATTCTGAGCTCTGACCTCAGGGAGCCCCCATCTTATCAAAGATAGCAGACTCGCCCACATGGACCACTCAGAGCTGGCCAGAGTGCAGGGTGCCAGCCATCAGGACTGGGGGTGCTCAAGAAAACAGTGGAATGGAGCAATCAGAGAGGCCTTCCTGAAGGAAGTAGCCTAGTACTGAACTTGAGGAAACTGGATAACATCTATAAATATTTCCAAGAAGGCAATGTTTTCTACCCTTTGAGCCATAACCAGGACCAAGGTCTATTTTATACCACACAGACCTGCTCAGAGGGACTTTAAAGCCCTATCAGAAAGAGACTGTGCCTTTTGCAAAAGGACCTGCCCTCCAAGGAAATCTTTACTGCTTTATTCAGTGATGTCAGTGGCCTCACATGTTGAGGTAACCCCTCCCTCTCAGGAGCTCAAATGTCACTGAGGAAGACAGTTCCAGGCTTTAGATGCTCAAAGCCTACCTGGGAAAGTCAGGTTCCAGGGGCAGGGACAAGGGGCAGGTCTGTTTTTGAGGGTCAGAATCAGTGAGAGACCACATAGTCCCCAACAGACTTGCTGGACCCAGCCAGATGTGGCTCAGGCTGCTGGGCCCTGGAGGCAGGACTGGGCCAGTACCAACCCTGAACTTGAAAAATCTATGTACTCACAGCAGCAAATTAAAGAATAATTAAGCTAATAGAATCTCCCCCGTTGTTTTGCTCTTTGGCAAGTGTTCCTCAATGATTCCATTGCTTTTAACTCAACGGAAGTGGATTTTTAAGTAATTTAATTATTTTAGAACTTATTGTTTCCAAAAACAATCTAAGGTCCCCCCTCCAGCTCTGTGACTCTGCGCTCTGTGAGTGATTTGTTTTAATTAGCTTTATATTGTATATCTAACATAAGCCAACAAGAAGCTCCACAGCAACTGCCCACTAGCCAGAGGGCAGAACCTTGGCCCAAAGTTCCTCAACAATGGATCACTCTGAATCTGTAATCAAGTGGGGGAGGGGGGAGGCGGAAGGCATGCTGATGGGTCACAGAGGTGAGCCACCCCCTTCTCCGTGGGAGAGGCCTCCCAGCGGGGGTCGAGGGAGGGCATTCTGCAGGGAGTGGCTTCAGGGCTCGCCTTCACAGTAAGGGCTAGGATGGAGAGAAAGGCGAGCACACAGTTTTCAGTCTTCTCACATTTCCCTTTGATAAAACCTGTACTTTTGCACTCCAGCCATTGCTGCTCCAAAATACCTTCTCGAATGTCACATCCCAGCTTTGATACAGATGCTGGCTGTCAAGTAACTAAACACATCACATGATCTCCCGGGCAGCAGGAGCTCAAAGGCAGACACACAGTCCTGTGTCCCCAGGTTCCCCTCATCTCCCTTTGCCACAACTTGGCAGCCTAAAGGTCAAGAATATAAGACCTGGAGCCAGACCTGCTGGGCTGGAATCTTCTTGTCATCCTTGCATCCTTGGCAAGGGCTTAACCTTTTTTTTTTGGCCTTGGTTTCCTCCTCTGTAAAATGAGCAGCATCACCAGCCTCTCATAAGGCTGTCATAAGGATTGAGGAGGGGAAAAGACCCGGCACATGGAAACACATGTATACAGATAGTAGCTACTGTGAAAATGCAGCTGCTGATATTGGTGAAAAGAAGTGCAGAGCTCCTAACTGTAAAATGATTGAGGCAAGAATGGCAATTCTTTGTTGTGCTAAAAAGCAACAAATCTTCAGCCATAACTCAGTGCTCACAATTAGGTTCGGTTTTGTAGCACAAAGCAAAACAAAATGAAAGAAAATGTGCAAAGAGCTACTCAAAGATTCTACTAAAATAGATATTAACATATTCTTTAGCTAATATGTAAAATAAGCCTTTTGTGCAACTTTCACATAAATGACTTTCATGTAAACTTTCAGACATGCATTGTGTTTCCGGGCCCAGGGAAGCTAAGGAATGTGGACCTTATCCTTCAGGCACCAGGAAGCCAGAGAGGGTTCTTGAGGAGGGAAGTGAGTGACCTGACTCTTGGTGGTTGGCATCTTCTGTAGGGAACACCTACCGAGAATGCTTAGAGAACGGGACATGGGCCTCAAAGATCAACTACTCACAATGTGAGCCCATTTTGGATGACAAGGTGAGTAGCCCCACCGCCCCAACCCTGGTCCTTATACAGGTATTGGGACTCACGTTGGACACAGAGGATCCCAAGGATGACAAAGCCCATCCTACATCACCCCGCCATTCCTTTTGCACTTCCTGCCCTGCCACTGTGCCCCTGTTCTGTGCTCTGTGACACTGTGGTGGGAGTCGGGAAGGAGGGCAGGCAGTCCCACCTCCAGGACAGCTTGGGCTGATGGAGGACACAGCCAAGGGGGCATGGGACACAAAAAGAGTGCTCCCTAACACCTAAAGGCTGTGTTCCGCCAAGCCTCAGTTTCCCCATCTAGCACGCTGAATCTGAGACTCCTTTTGGAATCAAGTGCAGCCCCGAGGGCTGGGCCCGTGTGAAGTGGGGCCTGCTCCAGCTTTCTCTGCAACTGGAGTCTTTTGGCAATTTGTCTAGAGTCAGCAGCACTTGGTGATAACACAAAGTGAACTGACTTAGCTGGTCTGAGAAGCATCCTTCAAAGCTCTGCAGATGTGCCCTCCTCATAGCTACACCTGGGGCAGACCCCAGACTTCTCTCTGCCACTGCTCCTGAGGCGGGAGAGCAAGTTGGCCCACTCTACAGATATCAGAACTGAGGCCCAGCTCAGCCTCATTCTCAGTTGCTCAGCCAGCTCAGGTATGAGCAGAGCCTAAACCCATTGTTTAGATTTCTTTAGATTTCTATTTTTTCAAATCTGTGCCTATATCTCTGGGATATCTTAGAATGGACTACATCCAAATGTGCCCCCAAAATGCATATTGGGACAGCTGACCATGGCCATTTATAATGACTAGACCCACCAAGGCCCCCTGGGACAAGTTCTAGGAGCCAGGCATGGGGGTGGAGGGACACATAGGCCCCCGAAGTTAGGACACACAGGAATGGCCATGGCTGGAGTGCCCAGCCCCATGCTATGCCCACTGCCTCCATCTGCCATGTTTGTTATCCATCCAGCAGAGGAAGTATGACCTGCACTACCGCATTGCTCTTGTGGTCAACTACCTGGGCCACTGTGTTTCCATGGTGGCGCTGCTGGCCGCCTTCCTGCTTTTCCTGGCCTTGCGGTGAGTCTTCTCCTGCCCTGCTCTCTCTTGTCCCCATCTCTCCCAGGAATTCTCACCTCCCCCAAGTGCCCAGAACCAATGGACAGAGGAAGGTTAGGCCAGGTGCCCAGACACTGGCCACCATGGGGGTGGAGGGCTTAGCTTCCATGCAGCACCCCCTCCACCCTAGGCTAAGACTCTGACTGGCCCCTAGCCCAGCTGGACCCTAACCCCAGGCATGTTGGAGCTCTGACCCCAGGGGACCTGGCCCGGCTGACCTGGGCTCACCTGGCCTGTCCCAGAAGCATCCGCTGCCTGCGGAATGTGATCCACTGGAACCTGGTCACCACCTTCATCCTGCGAAACATCATGTGGTTCCTGCTGCAGCTCATTGACCATGAAGTGCACGAGAGCAACGAGGTCAGTGTGCCGGGTTGCTCCAGCTGGGCGGGGGACTCCCGGCTTGTGGCACAGGGGCTCTCTGCTTGATACTCAAGTGTAAACCAGACATGAGCTCGCTCCACCCCATGCATTGTTCCCCCAGGGCAGGGAGGCTGGGGCCCAGCTGCTTATGCCTGACAGGAGGCAGATTCACCCTGTCTTTCCCCATCTCATGAGGTCAAGCCCCTTAAGAAAGAGGGGCTGGCACTAACTTCTGTTGAGCTTTATCTCACTTCATGCCAATGAGACTGGTTAGGATGATGGTCCCCATTATACAGATATGGAAACTGAGGCTCAGAGGGCTTAAAAGCCAAGGTCACATGCTATAACTATGCTTCCATGAAATGAGCCTCCATGCCAAGTGGCCAAGTCATTGTCAAACTGTAGAATAGAATGGAATCAACACAGGTCTTTGGCACACCATTTTCTTTTCTTTCTTTCTTTCTTTCTTTCTTTTTTTTTTTTAGTACCAGGGATGGAACTCAGAACCTTGCACTTGCGAGGCAGGCATAGTGCCAATGAGCTAAATCCCAGGCCCTGGCATACCATTTTCTTGGCAAATTCTCCATCCATTTTCTTCTCTTGGCCTGAACCTGACCAGACATCTAGCCTGGTTTGACTCTTAAACTGGCCCTATGTCACAACCAAACAAGTACAGTCAGACATCGGATGCCTTCCAGGCCCAGTACTGGCTTGTACTGATGAGACATAGCATAGCTTGGGGAACAGGCAAATCTAGCAGGAGGGACCTTTAGCCTCCCATGTCAGCAGAACTTTCTAGAACCAAGGAGACAAACAGCCACATGGACCCAGGATCTGGGCTCAGACTATTGGGCAAAGCCACAGAGCAGCTGGCAGCTCAGTACAGGATTATCCAACAGGCCAGGGCACCAGAGCTGGACAGAGAAGTGGGTGCCCCAGGGCTCCCCAGACCCCCAGCTGGCTGACATCATAGCCTGCTACCTCCCCAGTTCCCAGCCATCCAACCTTGGCTCTGAGCTCTCTGGAGACAAATCCTGGGGGTGTTTGGGAAGCTCAGACCTGGAGTGCCATGGTTGGACCCTGGTTTTGCATGGCTTTGATCAGGTTCTTCCGTTTCCTGTATCCCAAGATAGGTGCTCAGGAAGGCCACCTTGCAGAGAGGGACAGAAACAGATCCTTCTGTGCTGGGGGAGGCAGACCATGCAGCAGCCCTGAGCACAGCTCATACTTGGCATATCTGTGCCATCTTTCCTCTCACTGCCCCAGCAAGGCTCAGAGAGGGCAGCAACTTCCCAGAGGCCAAGGAGCTAGCGAGGCCCCCTCCAGAGCCAGCAGTACCCACTCCACATCCCGAATCCGCACACCCGGAGGCCTTGAGGACCTCATCCTCATGTGACCATTTCACTCCCTTTGTTGTGGTTGAGTCTGGTTGAAAGCTCATATTCCGTTCCTTGTCCCAGCCTCTGCCTATAGAAAGCTCAAAACCAGTCTCCCTTTTCTTAAAAAGAGAAATTCAGAAGTATTCTAGAGAAGTTAAAACACTCTGGACCCAGGGGAGAATGCCACCTTACCTCCATCCCAGAGTGGGGGAGGATGAACCTCTCTGAGTGAGAGGCCGTGACCATACATGATAAATGCCCTTTGGAAGGCCCTGAGCCTCGCTGCCCTGCCTGGGGAACTGGCCTTCCCTGGGCCCCAAGAAGCTCCTGACACCCCTGCCCTGTGTGCAGGTGTGGTGCCGCTGCATCACCACCGTCTTCAACTACTTTGTGGTCACCAACTTCTTCTGGATGTTCGTGGAGGGCTGCTACCTGCACACGGCCATCGCCATGACCTACTCCACTGAGCGCCTGCGCAAGTGGATCTTCCTCTTCATTGGATGGTGTGAGGGTTCTGGGGTCTTGTGGGGGAGAGGCATGGCTGAGGTCATCTCCCTTCATCTTGGGTCTGAGAACCAGGCACAGCCTTTCCTGCTTCATCCAGAACAGCCCCAGGATGCAGCCACTTCCTCCATGCTGGCCAGGAAGGAGCTGAGAATCCCCCTAGAGGATTTTACACAGGCAGCACTCATCTGCCAGAGCAACTGAGCCAAGGCCCTTGCCTCCAGTGTCTAAAGAGAAAAGGGCTGGCTCTACTTCTGTCCCAAGCCCTCGAAAAATCGCACCTTCATCCCCTGCATGTGGAAGACAGCTGAGAGTGGAGCCAGGGGCCTGGGGACAGGGCATCCCTGGGTCATGGAAGGACTGCAGCTAGAAGGGCAGGAACACCATCCAGGCCCCATGTGGTCCCCTCCTCTGAGTCATACAAGAGGGCCCCTTTCCCACTGTCTGTCCCTTGCAGCCCACGTCTGTCCTTCTTTCAGGTGTCCCCTGCCCCATCATCGTCGCCTGGGTCATTGGCAAACTGTGTTATGAAGATGAAAAGTAAGTGGGGTGGCTGCACAGGGCAGTGGGATCCAGACAGGTCAGCCATGGGCTCCAGCTCCACCATGGGGTGGGAGCTGCAGCCAGCCCTAGACAGGTTCCTGATCCTGTTGTCCTTAGACTGACAGAAATATCCCCACATCCAGAAGGACTCACTGGTAAATCTTAAGGCAGTTTGGTTTGTTGAATTCAATTAGAAATCATGATTTCTTTAAGTGCTCCATGTGCAGGACCCTCTTGGCCTTTGGAATGTGCTCCTTCTTGGAGCTGGGTATGTCAGGTCTGGCCAAAGATACATGGAAGAGACTGGGGTGTTGGGCTTTCCATCTAGATGGTAGCTGAGGCTGGAGCTCACCCAGAGCTTGTTTTTGGACATTCCAGTGTCTGCCTGGGTGCAGTGTCCAGTTCCAGGGTGCTCCCTACAACAGAGGCTGGTATCCTGAGCCACAGGCCAGCCTAGGAGCAAACAGGAAGTCAGGTGCCAGATAGTGACAGAAGGGGGACTGGAGAACATAAGTCTCAGTGTGAGGATCTCCAAGGGCTTGCAGGGGCTGGAGAGACCAGATTGGATTCAAGGGGTGAGGCCAAGAACCGAGTCCTAATGTTGGACTTCCTTGGTGAGCAGTGAGCTTCCGGTCAAAGAAGGTGTTCAAGTAGAGACCAGAAGTTTGGGTGCTAAGAGGCAGTATTTCTTTTGGGGGCTGGTGTGCACTGGCTATGCAGGACACAGAGTTTCCAGACTCAGTGGACCCTCCCCGAGGTCCAGCCATTTCTGGCACAGCCAGACTGAAACTTGCCCCTGCTCTTCCTCTAGACCATTAAGCATCTCCCCATCTGGCATCCCTGGAGAGTAAATCAAGCTTCTGACAGACAGTGAGGTCAGCCAGGCAGCAGGCTCCCTTCAGTGGTTGCACACGGCTCAGTTCAAAGACTGGAAGATGCGGCCCAGGGTGAAGGAAGGCTCCACCTCCATATCTGCTCCCTTGTGCAGCTGAATGCCTAGCACACAGAGCAGCAAGTTTGAGCAGTGTAGGCACAGGTGGCAGGCCCTGGGCCAGTGTGAAGAAGCCCAGCTCTCCCTTTGTTCCTGTACCTCCTGTATTCCCAGCCCTGCCCAGAAATCTTTGTGGGGCAGGAAGCTGAGGAGGAGCCCCCAGACCTCCCCTTAATCCTGCTGGGAAACCAGACAGACCCACCATGTGGAGGAAAGCACAGCCCAGGGCCCAGCCAGGGCAGCGAGCAGGACTGGGGCTGCCCAGCCTGGCATACTAGAAAGGGCAGCCCTGGAGATCGTGCTCAGAAAGGGACAAGCCAGAGGGCACTGGTGCCACTTTGGGAGTAGTCCCCCAAGCTCAGCTCAGCAGGCCACCCACAGCCACCTCATCTTTGCAGGTGCTGGTTTGGCAAGGAGCCCGGCAACCTGGTGGACTACATCTACCAAGGCCCCATCATCCTCGTGCTCCTGGTAGGTCCTCTGCGGGGACTGGCATGGCTGGGGGACCAGGAGGACAACAGAGACCCTGGAAAGATGTGGTCTAGGAAGACCCCCACATTCACTCTGTGTTCTGCCCCCATATCCGACACACAGCTCCTCTCTTCCCAGCACGCCCAACTCGCCCTTCCTCAGTCTCTGTACCCTGTGCGTCTCTGGACATCAGGTTCTTCCAGTGGATGGAGAAAGGGTCTAACAGGTGGATTTCTAGTGCCTTCCCCGGTCTGATCTGTACCAGGTGCCCTTGCCAGGTACAGCGCTGAGGCAGCCAGGTGAGCAGGCAGCTGGAGGCAAGGGAAGGATGTGTGGGCTTCTGCTCAGCCCAAACTTGAGCTCCTCTCAGCCCCCAGCAACCCCCTCCTGGGCTCGCCCCCACCCGCAGCCTGGGGCGGCAGAATCCCGAATGCAGGAATGCAGCGTAATGAGCAATTGTTCCCCGTTCAGCTCCCCGCCCTTTGCTGAGTGTATTCAAATCTAAGGTATAACTGCCAGCACGTCTTTAAACCACAACGAGCTTTAATTAAGATAGAACTTAAGTAGAGGCCACATTCAACAAAAAGAACCCATTATATATCATACATTAAAAAAAAAAATACAAAAAAGCCCCATACAAAATTGGCATTTACGTAAGACTTATTTCAGGCTCGGGTATGTACCAGCTTCCTTAAAGGGCCACCATGCCTTCTGGGAAACTCTGTGCACACAGCAGCTGCCTAGTGAGGCTGGCTCTTGTCTACCATGGAGACAACTACTGTTTATCTCTTCCATTTCCTTGCTCCCATCCTTTCTGTGACTTCTGGGATTCACTAGGTCCTATCTTGGGAGTGTTCTTGGTGCATGTGAGCAGATGATGACTGGGAAGGGTTCTCACCAACTGCCTGAAATTCATTGTCAGGACTTTGCTCCCTTCTGAAGCAGGAGCCATTCTTGTCAGCAGTGAGTGGGGGAGGACTGTCCTTGGACTCCCAGCTGCAGTGAGTCACTGGCCCTCAGTGTGAATGGAAACCCCATAAGATCCATTCCCTCCCTGCCAGCTGCCAGAGCCAATCAATGGTAGGAGGATAGGGATTTTGCTGAGCCTGGGACCCAGCCAAGAAATGGTGGCCTGGATGGGGACCAACAAAGCAGGGGTGTTCATTGCTGTAAAGATGTGGGGCCAGTCATGAGGAAGCAACAAGAAAAGGGGAAAAGAGCGGGGCATCAGGGGCCTCAACACCCCCCACCCCGACCCCCGCTTTCTCGTGTGCACCCTGTTCTCTGGCTCTGTGACCATCTTCCCTTTGGAGCCAGCTGCCTGCCCCAACTGAGGCTTCCAGATTCCAAGCTGAGCACTTCCCCAAGCCCTCTTTTTCCTTCCAATCCTTCATCCTCGAGACAAAAGAAGTCAGGATTACAGGTGAAGAAACAGATAAACCGGCTTGCCCAGGGTCACCAGTCCCAGCCGGTAGCCCTGAGCTCAGGACAGATCTCTTGTCTTGTCACCACCACCTGCCTGCTGTCCTCTTGGTTGGAGATATTGTTGGCATGCCTACCTCTCCTGCCCTCCCCAGCTGTTTCTGCTGCTAAGAGACGCTCACTTATTTCTGGGTTCTGGGAAGTCAGTCGAGTGGCAGAGTTTGCAGGAAGCCTGGCTCCTGGCTGTTGTCATGGGAAAAATGACATTCATTAGGCCAGCCTGAGACTGAGAGCCCTCCATGAGTATGTAACCGTGTGCCGACCTTCAAGGCAAGCTCTGGTCATTCCCACCAGACAGCTGAGGAAGCAGAGCTCAGAGAAGTTAAGCAACTTACCTAAAGCCACACAAATGCTATGAAACAGTCAGAATTTGGGCCAGGAGACCAAGACTTAGTGCGACTCATTTGTTTGAGAGGTGGTCCAGGAACACATAGCAAGGGGTTTGGAGAAGACAGGGAAGGGAAGAAACCAATAGAGGGAGACGATGAGTAGGTTAGCACCAGGATACTCAGGATCCATCTCACCGTAACCCCCTGAGGAAACATGTACACAGGTCTTAGAATTGTCCCTTTGAAGATGGGGAAGTTGGCCTGCTAACCCTGACCCACCATGCCTCCTCAATGGGGTTGTCCCCAAAACACTAAACCCCCTACATCCCAGGCCACCCTGTTCTCATTCTGAGCTAGCTTCTGTGACACCAGAGAGAGAGTCTCAGGTTGGGCGCTGTCCCCTGCATGTGGATGTAGGGCCAGAGGAGCCAGGCTGGACACCTGCTGTAGGGTGTGGCCATCAGGTCTGTCTGGAGAAGCCTGGGCTCTGTATTCCAGGGATGGTGGCTCCTAGCTCAGTGTGTCTCCCGGGGATATCTTAGCTGCCCCAGTTTCAGAGGCCGACCTGTGGACCCAGCCTGGCCCTGGGGATCTGCGCTTGTCTCCAGCACCCAGATGCCTTGCTGTGCACATTCTGGGTCCTGAGCATGATGAGCCGCAAGTGAGGAGGTGTGTTATCTGGCTTTCTTCATGTCCCAGCTAGATCCCTGCACTCAGGATTTGGGCCTTTGAGGCTTCACTTCCCTAGAAAATGGTAATAGAAGGGAAAACTTGAGGTGTCCAGTGAGGACCAGCCTCCCAGGGGCTTTGAGGCAGACTAGCCAGGCTGCAGGGCACCCTCACTCCATCTTGAGGGGCTCCCTAGCAATAAGTCAGCAGGCTCAACTATCTGGGTGGAACAGGTAGGCATGTTGCCAATGGTGCGATTCACATCTCGGTGCACGTGTCATGCAGGGAGCCGAAGGCTGGGCCAGGTGGGGAGGAGGGTCTGAGACAGAGCAGGGCTTCTGGAAGCCTGCTCCAGGCCAGGACATGACAGAGCAGAGGACATGCTCAGGACTGGGACCTCGCCCATCCTGGGCTTCCACACAGCGGGAAGCCACATAGGGAGAAATAAGCCAAGGAACTTGGTCTTCCTTCCTTCCTTCCTTCCTTCCTTCCTTCCTTCCTTCCTTCCTACCGTCCTTTATTCCTTGCTTATTCCTTCCCTCCCTCCTCCTCCCTCCCTCACTCCTTGCCTCTTCACGTACATAAACAGTGAAGAAACATTTGGGAGCATGGAGTGGGGACACCCTGTGCGCACTGTGATTTAGCAAGTGTCCCACCCTCCAGCAGGTCTCAGGTGGTGGAGCACTGGAGGGTAAGAACCTGGGAGCTGGGCCTTGGGAGGTTGTGGGCAAAGGGAGTGCTATGGGGCATCATGGAACAAGCAATGGGTGGCGCCCCTTGCAGTTTGTGGTGTGATCCTGAAGGAACTCTTTTCCTTCTTGGTGCCTTAATTTCCCACCTGTAACACAGGGACCCTTCGCTGCCTCGCATGTCATGTGAGGACTAGTAGGCTGGGGACACCTGCTGCTTGCCAGGGGCTCAGGACCACGTGCTGATGGCTCTGCTGAAAACCACCCATCCTGGAGCCTGGCCTGGCTGGTTCCTTCTGTCTGGCCTGTGTTTCCTCACCCCTGCAGAAGCAGCTGTGATGTGGGGGTTAGAAGAAGGCTGCTGACGGCCAGCTGCCTCAGTGAGTCCTGACATCATCCCTTGCTAACTCTGTGGCATGGGCAAGTCACATAGCCTACTGATCCTCAGTTTGTGCATCTGTGATATGGAATTAATGATCATACCCACTTGTAAAAGTGATTACATGAGGAATAGTCATGCAGTATGTGGAGCAGCACCTGGAATGGTGTAAGCACTGGGTCCATGCAGGTAAGCATGAGGCCCCCACAGGCCCATCCTGATGCAGGAGCGTAGGGGCTGAAATCTCCACACACCCAGTCACAAGATCCCACGGTAGCCTATTGCCCTGGCTAGGCCCACCACCCACCCTCACAGGATCTCACGGGGACAAAGCTGCTTCCCTCATGAAATCAAAGCATCACTGGGGCTAAGCCACCAAGGTCAAAATGTCAGGAGAGATGGTAGCTGGTGCAAGGAAGACCTTATCAGGAAAGCTCCTTCAGGGCGCTGGCATCACCTGCACTGCAACCCCCTCACGGGCAGCAGCCCCAGAGCCCATGCTGAGAACATCCTAGGTAGGATGGGAGGGCGTGTCACAGCAGGAGGTAGATTTGCCTGGTTTGGTTTCCAACATCTCCCTGGGCTTGCCCCTCCCTCCTGCCTCGTGCCCCCCCCCCCAGCATCACCTAAGCCACACTGGTCACCATGCAGGGGCTGGGCTCTTTCACACCAGGATGGTTTCATTTGTGGCCTTGACTCTGCCTAAAGCACACTCCCCCACCTGCTAGCATGGCCTCATCTTCAATTCTTACCTTTTGTGCCATCTCCCAAGGCCTTTCTGGAACCCTAAGAAACATGCCATTCCTCCCCACACCTGCCCTTCCCCAGCTAGGCCCTCTGAACTAGGGACCATGTCTGCCTGTCCACTTCCCTATCTGTGTTACCCAGTGCAGAGCCTGGCAGGTGGTGAGTTGATTCATTGAATGAAAGAATAATTAAATAAAGCTAGAAACCAGGCTGAACCAAGCAGGGTACACGAGCCAGTGGTCACTTAAGAACTAGGATGGTTTGGTTTTGGAGACAAGGAAGAAGGAGTCTCAGAGCGGAGAACAAAGGGCTCAGCATGGGCTGGGGTGGCCAGAGGGCTTCCTGGAGAGAGAAGAAGGTGTCTGCGATGAGCTGCTTCAGATGGTGTAAAGGAGGAGGCTGGAACACAGCCTCACAGTAAGAATGCCTTTCAAGCTTCACAGTCCCAGGCTGAGGTGGGCCAGGGGAAGTTTCACTAAATGCCTCCTGATGTGAGGAGAGAGGTGATGTGCTGTCCCCCAGATGCTGCACACTAGACCCTGCCCCGGTCCTGCTCGGCATAAGGATAAGAGTCAATATCAAAGGATGCTTAAAGGCCACCTATTTGGATGGATGAATGGATGGATGGATGGATGGATGGATGGATGGATAAAATAGTGGATGAATAATTGAATGAACTAGTTAGTGGGTGGAAGGTTAGATGGATAAAAGAGTGGGTAGAAATTCAGTGAATTGGCTAGTGAGTTGAATAATATTTAATGCAAGGAAATGTGGCAAAGATGAGAATATATTTTGATTCCAACAGTCTACTCTCAGAGAGTCAGGAAGGATCAGAAAAGGCCAGGTACTCGGTATTACATAGAACTGACCCATGTGTTAAGGTGACCTATGTGTTAAGGTGACTTGTGCCCCTTGATCATCGGGAATATGCCAGAAACCCAGGAGCTAGGTTATGTGAGCCTTGTAAGAAAGCAGGCAGCAGGCCATTGGCAGCCTCATCAAAGGTTCCCCCCAAACCCCACAACCCCTGCCCCTGTGCTCACCAGGTCACAGCCCTTGCCTGAGCCACCCTCCAGCCTGGGGGTCACCCAGGGTCAAAGTCTCATGATGTCTGCCTATGTCCCCCACTTCATCATGGGATCTGGAACTTACAGAAAGCCCAGGCCAGGTTCAGAAGGAATAAGTTTTCTAGACAGAGAATTGGAAGGGTGTGTGTGTGTTTGGCTGTCAGCCTGCAGACATCACTGGGCTAACAGGGGTCTCCGTCTTGCCTGTGAGAACTTTGAGAAGAGTCCCCTTGTGAGGTCAGGCCAGTACAGAGTCCCATTCCAGTCTACCTGCACACAGAGGCAGGTGAGGAGAAACTCAGGCACACTCATCTACCAGACTGACACACAGACACATACAGAACAGACTCACAGGCCCACAGCGGAGTGGACAGTAGGGCAGCACACAGCCACAGGGACCAGCCAACAGACAAACAGAGCCTCCAGGCCACAGAGGCCCACATGAGTCAGGAAGCTGACTCAGGAATCAAGTGGGCTGGGGGCCAGAGGCTGGGGGAGGCTCAGAATGAAGTAAAAGAGGTCCTCCCAGGAGCCTTGAGCCTTGGGCTGCCCATTCATCTTCCCTCCTGTGAATGTCTCCAGAGGCTGTGGAGCTCCTGGGTGTGGGCTGGGTGGTGAGAAATTAATCACTCCTTTAGCAGAGGAGTTATTAATCACTCCATCTGGCCAGTGCATCCCCAGGGCAGGGCTGAAAAGACCTCAGTCCAACGTGTGTCAGGGAGAATGCAAAAGCCCAGCACCCATCATTAAGGCCCTGGTGCCCTGGCTGGGTCCCAGCATGGCGCAGGGTCCCCAGACCTGCCAGGCTGCAAATCAGAGCCTTGATGCACTATGAGCCATGGGTTCCTGTGCACACCTCCCCATCACCACCCTGGCTCAGACCCGGGCAGAAGGAGAAGCAGGCAAGGGGCGTTGATTGTTGTGTTTGACACCTACCAGCCAAGATACTCAGCTTTATAGGTGTTACCTACATATATGACTGAACCTTTTGAAGCCTCAGACTTGTGATCCAAAAAATGGATATAATCAATGCTATTTCACAGGGTCTGTGGAGGGTATTAAATGAGGCAATGCTTGTAAAACTCTGTGCATGAGGGAGCCCCAGAGGCAGGGCCTGGCGAGCAGAACACACTGGCTGACACCCTGGACCATGGCTGGCTGTCGGTGGGGTTCAGGCTCCACCTTCAGCACCACCACCGGGTCAAGGCCAGGGCACCTTGTGTGGATGAAACTGTTTGGCAGCCCTGTGGGCACCTGGCTCATCCCACCAGATTTGGACCCACCCTGGGTGCAGAAGACTAGCAGAACCAGAGGAGTGGGGGCCAGGGAATCCCAAGCATTGCCCGCCAAGGGGTGCTGTGAGACCAACCCTTCGAGAAATAGCATCCCAACCCTCATACCAAAGAATAACAAATACAGCCTGATTAGCCACACTCTAGCTTACTGTGGCTCCTGACCCAACAGTGCCAACTGGGAGGCCCCTAGGATGGCAAAGAGGGATGCTGAGAAGTTCTGTGCCCTCTTCTGGATGCTGCCAGCTGTCCCTAGGGGCAGCCATTGTCCCTGCCCCAGGGAGAGCCCACTGCAAGCCAGCCAGCCAGTTCCTTCAAGACAGAGCCCAGGGTGGCGGCAGACTCCAAAGCTGTCAAGAGACAAATCAAATGCCCCATGCTCTCCTTCTCCTACCTACACGAACATCTCCAACACTGACCACCCAGTCACCTATGCCCCCCACCCCTTCCACAACAGGGGTGACCTTCCAGAGCCCCTGGTGACTCCCAGGGAAGTAATGATGATCAAGATACACTATGGAAATGTACCAGTTTCTCAAGATGAATGTAACAATGTATGATGAACATACACTAATAAAAAAGGGGGGACCCTGTGACTGAGAGGGGAGGGGCTTAGACAGAGCTCTACTCAGCGCAGAGGCTGGGACTTTGAGGTGTCCCCAGAAGAGCAGCCTCTTGCTCTCACCACTCGTCTTAGAGGCTCTTTCTTCCCTTGGGGCTGAGGGTAGAGAGCAGGCCCTGGAGACAAGGGGCATCTCCCTGTCCTGGCTGTGGGGGGGGCAGGGGCCGGGGGACTGGGCAGGTGCTGGGTGACAGGTGTATGACTGGGAGGTGGGGCTCCTCTCAGTTCATCCCGCACTCAAGGTCTTTCCTTTTTCCCTCTCTGCCTCTTCCTTTCAGATCAATTTTGTGTTTCTGTTCAACATTGTCAGGATCCTAATGACAAAATTACGAGCATCCACCACGTCTGAGACAATCCAGTACAGGTACATGAACCCTGGGTGCCTCGTCCCCTGCAGGGAAGAAAATGAGGGATCACCTGGGCCACCCCCTGCCACCAGGCAGAGCCATGCGAGTCCTGACCCAGGCAGCTCACTCAGGCTCCCAGAGGAAGCCCACCGGATCCCCCTCCTTCCGCCTCGGGGTCTGCCTGCAGTGTGAGCTCAGATGTGTCACTGCCCTCTTGCCCCCCAGAAAGGCGGTGAAGGCCACCCTGGTCCTCCTGCCCCTGCTGGGCATCACCTACATGCTCTTCTTTGTCAACCCTGGTGAGGATGACCTGTCGCAGATCGTGTTCATCTATTTCAACTCCTTCCTGCAGTCTTTCCAGGTAGGCCCCCTGCAGAGGGCATCCCTGACCCTGAAGTGCAGGCACCTGACCAGTGCATGGGGTTCAGTTACACACACACTGAGATACAAGAGCATTCACAGGCTCACTCGGAACCTGACCTGGCCCCAGAGGGGTCCCTGGGCTGAGCCCTGTCACCCCCACCCCAGGGCTCAGACATCCCAACACTTCTGATGAGTCAAGTTGGCTGCAATCCTGCTTCCTGCCCCTGGACAGGCCATAAAACTGAATAGGTTGGGATCCTGCTTTAGGCTGATGGTAGGTGGGGACCACAGTGCCCTCACTCAGAGGATCCCTGTGTAACTGCACCCCTGGGCTGCAGCCATGAGTTCTGAACTCTATGGGTCATATGGGTCTGTGGCCATGGGTCATTATGGCTCCTCCCGCACACGGTTTCTCACCCCACCCTCCATATATAGAGGCTCCTCCACTGGTCCCTGATGGCTCCCTCCTTGCTTTCTAGGGTTTCTTTGTGTCTGTCTTCTACTGTTTCTTCAATGGAGAGGTACGAGGCCGGGCCCTCGGGATGGCGTGGGCTCTAGGGGTTCTCAGACGCCAGCCTTCTGGGAAAGCCTGGTCCCTGGCTGGGCTCAGCCCTGCCCTGGAGGAAGGAATGGAGGCTTAAGAAACCGCCCAGCTTTAGGGGACCTGGACTCCTCCAGCAGGGCCTGGAGGTAGATTAGAAGACCCATCACAAGGCCAGAACTAATAGGCCAGTGCCCCATGCATGCCTGGAAGAGCTGGTGAGTAGAGTGCCCAGGTTGCAGGCCCTGGGGCAGAGAGACACCAGAGCAGAGGTGGTGACAGGAGGAAGCCTCCAGAAAGAGGTGCCATGCAGGTCTTTATGGACTCAGAGCACCACAGGAAAGAGCAAACGGGGCAGCGCGGGGCGGGGGGTACCTCCAGGTCGAGGCAGCAGTAGAAGCCTGGTCAATTAAGGAAGCCCAGGATCCTGGCGCAGTGGATACAGGGAGATGCACTGCCAGCCAATGGGGGGTGAGAACCATGGTGGGCTCTGCAACAAAGAGCAGACACAGCCCTGGGCCTGAGCACTTCAGGCACCCCAGAGGAACGCAGTGCCCTGTGGAGCCACTTGGCCGGCAATGGCATAGGGCAGGTACAGGCAGGGTCCCTGTTGACTGTGCTAGGCCTGGATGCCGAGTCCAGTAGGGAACACTGGCTCTGCTGGCTGGAGGGTAGGGATGGGAGGTGCCGCTGAAGCCAACAACAGCATATGTTTTGGGAACATTAATGGCTAGGATGCAGAAATGGACCACTTTACAGAATTCTTCCCGTATAACACACGGAGAACAGCTCTAAGTATGGAAGTGAATAGAGCTTTCCCTCTCAGGAAGTACATGATGTGGGAGGGAAGGTGGTCCTGGGGTGTGGGAGAAGGTCCTTCCAGAGGAGGCCACACTTCCAGCACGGCCCCAATAGGGATAAAGGGGCCGGTTTACAAAGCCACCGGTCCCACTATCAAAGATAGTGACGCTATCTTTGAGGTGACAGAGTGCCCCCAAGGAAACTGGAAAATTCACAAGGACAATGGGAAGCATTGGGGGGGGGGTGTCAGGCTTCTGCAGAGGGATGAGAAAGGGACTCCCCTGGAGAAGCTGCAGAGAGGGGCAACAGGGTCAGGGGAAGGCCTCAGTGTGGGAACTGCCCCTGGCCTCCCTGAACAGCCTCCCAGGGGAGAGGGGCAGCCCTGGGTGACTGAGCCTCTCCATCCCCACAGGTGCGCTCAGCCGCGAGAAAGAGGTGGCACCGCTGGCAGGACCATCATTCCCTCAGAGTGCCTGTGGCCCGGGCCATGTCCATCCCCACATCACCCACGAGGATCAGCTTCCACAGCATCAAGCAGACAGCGGCTGTGTGACCGCTGGGCCACTCAGCTGCCCATGACTCCACCACAGGGGCAGCTCCCCACCGTCCTCCTCTTTCTCCCTTCTTATTGCACAGCCCCAGGGACACAGGAGAAGGGAGAGGAGCGTCCAGCCCTCCTCCCTGGCAGAAAAGCAGCTGTGCAAGAGGAAGAGGGCTCTGAGGGATGCAGGGCCTGCTGTGGCCGAAAGTCTCCATGCAAGAAGGAGCAGAGGAGGGTCACCATGGAACTCCCAAGAAGAGCAGGGAAGATGTCTTTAGGCACTTGCCCACCCCAGCCTCTCTGAATAGATCTTCACTGTCGCCCCACTCACTGATGAAGAAGGCCAGGGAAGAGGCCTACCCAAGTCACATGGCTCATTGCTGCAGTCCCAGTGCCCACAGCCCCGTGGCAGTTTACCCTGCTCCCTGTTTTTTGCCTCCACACTCAAGGGTGCTCTCTGCCGCTGGGACGTCAAGGGTTTTCCAGCTGGCTTCATCTGAGGGTCTGGCAACCAGAGAAGCCTCCCTTGCGCCCTCCATGACTGGCTGTCCCTCCCCTCTCCCCAGCCATCTCCTCCTTGGGGCTTCAGCCAGGATGCTGCTTCCTCCCTGGGGACCTCTTCTCAGCCCAGTGTTCAGACTGGGCACTTGGAAGAGGCAGATAAGGAGAAAGAGACAGCCAGCAAAGCCACACCCGTAGGCCAACCAGATACACAGCACAGAAAAACTGGGGAGCAAAAGTATGGGGGTAGGAGGGAGGAGTGGTGGGGATACTGGCTTTGGTGATGAGAACAAATCCCCCAGTTCCTTGTGCGCCTGGGTGTCAGCCTCCCCTGTGCTATCTGTGAAATAAACCATGCCTCAGGAATTGGCCTCCCCTCGGGTCACGTGACCAGGATTTGAGTGGTGTGGGCCAAAGATGGGAGCTAGGTCTGCAGGCCACAGCCATGTCTCCCCTCTGTAGTGGACACTGGCCCTGGCTGGGGTGGACCTTCCTCTCTAACCTGTGGAGTTTGGAGTCACCATGCTCAGAGCACCCACGCATCCCTTTATCTCTCCTCAGGCTAAAACCCACCCCCAGCCCCAAAGGCAGTTGACTGACTCAGCATGGAAGAAGTGTGCAGCTCAGCCTGCAAAGCAGACCTGTCCCAGTGGCCAAAGCCCCAGACTCTGCAGGGACAGACAGACAAAGCTTCTCAGGCTATTTCTGGTTTATTTTCCATCCCCGTCCCCCTCAAGGAAGGTAACCAGAATCTAGAGAGAAGCCACTAGGCCATTAGTTTGAAAATGGGCTTTTGCTCTAGATACCCCCATAAAAATAAACTTTGAAAAATTATGTATCCCACCCTGCACATTCTTAACTTGGTATTTAATAAGGTTTTAACAGTGCAAAGGATGTGATCTCTAGCATTTGGTAAATATTTACATTTTAAAATAAAACTGCCATAATACTTTAAAATATATCATATGGAATCTAAACACTGCAGTGATTTAATACTCCGCCTCATCTAGCTAAAAAGTACATGAACCAGCTCTTTATTAACAAGTGGAAATTTTACAGTACTCCCTTTCTCTTTAACTTGTATTTTCATTCCACCCTGTCTACAGAATTTTAGAGTAATGCAATATTTTTTTTTTCATTGGGAATTGTACCTTTATATAATACATCTTGGTTCTTATTTTTTCCCCATTCCTAGCCCTCCCTTCACCCCCTCCACCCTTCCCTATTTACAAACTTTATTTCCATTTTTTCCATTTCTCATCATTTTTCCTTTCCCTTCTATCCTTTCCCCTAGCCCTCCCACTTCCTTCCCCTTTGCCCCTCTTCTTCCTATTTCACATTACCTATTATACATTTTAGTCCTTATTTACACTTTCAGTTTCTCACACCAGAGAAACTATTTGGTATTTACACATGTGTGTCCTATTTATTTCACTTAAGAGTATTGCCTCAATGTGCATCCACTTAGCTATAAATGTCTCTAATTTCTCATTTTTTATGGCTGAGTAGTACTCCATTTTATAAAAAAACCACATTTTCTTTATCCAGTCTCCAGTTGATGGGCATTTGGGCTGTTGCCAAGTTTTAGCTATTACAAACTGCGCTGCTATGAACATGGGCGCACATATATCACTGTGGTATGATTCTTTTAATTCTTTGGAGAAGATCCCCAGCAGGGGAATAGCGGGGTCAAATGGGACTTCCAGTCCTAGTTCTTTGTGGTATCTCCATACTGATTTCCACAGTGGTTGCACCAGTCTACACTCCCACCAGCAGTGCAGCAGGGTTCCTCTTTCCCCACAGCCCTGCCAGCATTTGTTATTGGTTGATTTCATGATAGCAGCCATTCTTTCTGGAGTGAAGTGGAATCTCAACGTTGTTTTCATTTGCATCTCTCAAATGACCAGTGATGTTGAATATTTTTTCATGTATTTATTTGCTATTTCTACTTCTTTGTCTGAGAAATGTCTGTTCATTTCAGATGCCCATTTTTGGATTGGGTCTTTAAATTTGGGAGGTCTGATCTTTTTAAGTTCATTATAGATTCGAGATAGTAGACCTTTGTCTGAGGAAGAGCAAGTGAAGATTTTTTCCCACATTGTTGGTTGTCTCTTCACACCATGTAATATTTTTTTGATTGAAAGTCTTCTGTGGCTCACCTTATACTTTTCTGCCACAAAATATATTTATGAACTGAAATTAAAATGTTCAATTTTCTGTGATGAAAGATTTAACTTTTTAAGTCTTCTACATTGAGATTAGAATTTTTGTTATAAAATGTAGTAAACAATTGATTAAATTGATTAGATATTAAAAATTTTTATAACTATTAAACCTAAAAAGACAAACTTAATTGAAAACACACCTTCATGAAATAGATAAGAATTTAATTGTTCATGAGCCTATGGATGGATTTTACCGCAAAAATCAATCAGGACTCAGAATCATTTTTTTTCTTTCATTTTTTAATAGTTCTGCATGCTGAAAAGGCTTTTCAAATTCATAAGTAGAAGCTGTAGCAATGTCACTCAATTCTCTATACAACTTTGGAGACGTATGCTTCAAAGTACATGGCAGTCTATCATAAAAAATGCACTATCGGCCAGACACTTATGCCCTCTTTGCATTTGGCTGGAAAAAATGAATAGAAAATGATCAGACTTGCAACAGAGTTTGCTACCCTGTCTCTGCATATTCATTGTCTCACCACCAGTCCCTCCATACCAGACTGTTGTGGGGGCCAGGAGGGGCTTCAAAGCTCCACAGTGCACCAGAGTGTGATGTGGGCTGTGGCTTCTCCTACCGGGTGGGAGAGGCAGCCGGGTGCCCTGACTTTGCTTTCTCAAGGGACAGAACTCATACAAGTCATCCTGCCTACCCAGAGCATGGATGCTTTTGTAGGGCAAAGAAGTGCAAATGGCTGAGTCCAAAAGGCCACTTGGAGAGAGGTCTGTGAGCAAGAAGAGATTGAGCAGCGCTCATCAGGGCAGACTTCAGAGTCTCAGTGTTAAGCCCTGCCACTCATCAGTGCCCCTCAGATGCAGCCCTCAGCTACTCTTCCTCCTGTCCTCTGTTGCCCGGAGGAGCCAAGGCCCTGTGGAGGCCATCACTGTGAAGAGCGCCAAGCTGCGGACCCTATTGAGCGGTTTCTAATCTGTTCTACCTCCAGTTGAGCAGATCCACTCCAGCCCTGTATCCCCTCATTACCTGGACTCCTGGTCATGGCACCATAGAGCTCTATCTTTGAAATGCCACTGGAGCCATTAGGCCATCTCTGTGGGTCCCCACTGTTAACCTCGTTAGGCACCTGCTCCTCCTCACAGCCCAGCCAGTCCTCGTTAGCATCTGCAGCACTGGCAGCCCCTTGCTAAGTGGCCTTTCTGCAAAGCAGCCTCATTAATAGACTTTCCTCTTCTGTAGCAGGAACTTCCAAAGCCCAGACCCTGCGCGCCCTCAGCTTCTTCTGTTTAACTCTTCTACCCACCCTGGTTTATAAAGTTGGGGACGACTTAAACTCACAAGGATTCCTCACCCTGGCAGCATGGTCCCCTCTCAGTGAGATACCACAGTCAGAGCCCTACCCCAGCCTGGCTCCAAGCCCCAGCCCGGCTCCAAGCCCCAGCCCGGCTCCAAGCCCCAGCCCATCATCAAGGTGGGGCCAGAAAATGACAAATACAGAAGCAGGTGCAGCAGGTAATGGAGCATCTCTGGGGCAGGAAGTGAAAGGCAGGGATGGCATTTCCCTCCCTGGAGCCCCCTCAGGAGGCACATGAAGCCTCAAGGGCCCAGGTGGGGGAATGGCTAACCTGCAGCAGAGATGGATGTAAGGTGGACCGGAGACACTGCCAGAAAGTGATCTCAACGCGCAGACTTGCACAGAGGTGGGGACACATGGCTCCCCAGCGTGAAGGCAATTGCTCCAGCCACAGATGGAAGTCCAGATAGACTCGAGCCACGTGCATGATGTGAAGATTCCCAGGAACACATGAGGAGACCAAGACGCAGACACACACACCCATCTGTCACCTGTTCCCTATCCACTTGGCGCCACTGTGGCCAGAGACGAAAATAAGAATAGCACAGCTTCCGGTTTCAAGACACTGAACAGCTCATTGAGGAAAAAAACAGCTCTAAAAACAGCACAAGGTGAAGGCAGGAAAGTGATTTGTGCCTGTTCCCGCCTTTGCAAGTCTCTTGGGGTCCACTTCAGTGTGTCATCTTTGGGAGCAGGCAAATCGGCCTCTGTAGCCTTCACCTGCCCTTATTTAGCCCTCTGCTTTGTACACATCTCAGGGCCATGACCCTAAGCCAAATAAGGTTTGAGGCACAAGACCCTCAGCTGCCCTCCACCTCCCTTTCACTTTCCACCACCCAGCTCCGGGCACTTGAGACAGCCACAGAGACAACAGAGTGGGCAAGGCCTGCAGTGTGCCATTTCTGCCACACTGAGCATCTGCAGAGCCCACAGTAGGTGAGGCACCAGGGGCTGGGCTGGGGTGGGGGCGTGAAGGAAGGCTGTCCCAGAAGGGACAGGAGGGGACACTCAGACAGGCTGTGCCCTGAGGCCCAAGGGAAGCACTTTCCTGACATGACAGTGTTGGGTAGGTCAGTAGACATTTAGTGGGCCTAAGGGCCAGGGTGGGAGGTCCAAAATAGCATACTTTGCCAGTTATAGTTAAGTAAAGGAACAGACTTCAGTGCATAATACAATTATAGTCATTTGTTAGGTCTCAGACCCAAAGCAATCTCACAGAGCATGAGGACATTTTAAGGTTACATTGGACACATTCCTTCTGGTTCCAGGCCACTTGGCCATCTGACTCCAGAACAAGGCACCAGCATTCCTAGCTGCCATAGCCTACAGCCCAATGTATCAGGAAAGAAAGTGTTCTTTAAAAGATCCTCCTGCCTAAACTGGGACCTGGTTTAAATCAAGAACTTATCTTTTTGAGTTCCTTACCAGATTAAAGCCCCTGAAGAAACACTGACCCTCTAAAAAGAACAGGAAGACATTTTGCAATTCCAAAGTAACTTGGAAGTAAAATGTCTATAAGTATCATCACCATAGTTCCCTGAACCCCAGAAGTAATTTTTGTGTGCATAAAAAGATATCCAAACTAATACTCAGAGCAGATGCCTTCATGGCACTGCTCACTTTCTTGCGAAAGTATAACTCTCTTTATATATACTTTACAATAAAGTCTGCTAAGATTTCTGCATGGCCTCTATGTTATGAATTATTTCATCAAGAGCAGAAAGAACCAAGGGCCAAGGAAATGAGGGGCCAGTTCCTCACTGCATGAGGACCTGGCTTCCCAGTGACACTTCATTCAGGGTCAAGACGTGTTTACATAAAGAGCTGTCCCTTGGTGGACCTGGTGGCTTGGTTATAAAGGGCACAAGAGAGAGGTTTGAAGGAGTAAACGCTCCAGCTGGGAGCCTCACTGAGGCCTCCACTCTGAGAATGCACCGGGCCTCCCCTCTTAGCCAACATTGTGACCGCTGGCAGCAAGCTTTGGAAGCTAGTCTTCCCAGGCTTGGTGGGACCTAGAAATTGCACGCGGTTCTGACTGTAGACTGTGTGGGAGCCAGCAGTCAAGGGAACTCCTGTGGCATTTCTTTCCACTACACTCACGCCCACGCATGCTTGTGTACTACAGAAAGAAAAGGTAGGGACCTGTCGTTCTAGAAACCTCTAGGGAAGGCAGCTGTAGCAAGAGAGGAGGAGGTGTGTGTAAAACATGTACATTTACTCATCAATATATCCAGTATGGTTTCCAGGCTCTGCCCCTAAGGCACCAAGAATTCTCCTGAAGAGACTGTGCCACTTGGAGCTGTTAGTTAGCAGGAGGAATGGGCAGGGGGTGGCTCACATCAATGCCCTGTGTGGACTAAGTTTTGTCTGGGCTTCTGGCTGGGGTTTTTTGGGTGCAGCCCAAAGCTGTGCCACACAAGGGGCTGTCGTGTGGCTCTCCTAGCCCAGCTCTATCACTACG